ATGATGCAATTGCCCTATGTATCTCAATCGGTTTTCTTAATGATTAATAAACACACAGTACTGGCCTGACCAAGGGTATTAAAAAAAAAAATAATAATAATAAGATCTAAGGTATGCAACTGTTGAAATTATAGAAGTATTAGATATGAAAATAACAATCTAAAAATCTTTTTTTTGCTTAATGAATCTCTTATTTTATAAACAATAGTAACCATATTTGGAATTCTTAGTTTCCTGTTATTATTGATGTAAAAAATCCATTAAGTCAACTCTTAGTTTGGGAAACAAAATTTTTTATTTCCATTATGTTTTACAAATATAAAAATCTATTTAATGTTAAATAAATAACTCGATTTTGAAAAGATATATAAAAAAATTTTGCTTGATTAAAAGTATATTAACGAAGGAATAAAAAATGAAAATAACATTCATACTAACAACGACGGCAACATAAATTAATCACTACCATAAATATACCTAACACTAGCATTCCTATCCCCCCATAATAAAATGTTTTGTATATAGCTTGCGTACATATGGACTCGCATTCTTGGCCTATATTCGATATTGTTGAACTAACTATTGATGAATTATTCGCTTGACTTGGATCACATAATGGTCCACATTTTGAAGGCAAAATTTTTGAGTAAGTCAACATTCCTATCCCAATAATGATAAAGATCGTTGCAAATATTAAAATACATAAAGTCCACGTGCATCGCAAACACCCACACACGGAACAACAATCACCAAGATCACAATCATCGCGCCGTTTATTATGTTCTTTTCTGCCGGACTTCGACCCTCCTACATAAGAAGGAGCAATCATTTCGGGGGGATCATATGATGCTGGCGGCCTTGGCGTATTTGGAGAAGAATAGTCTTTTGGTGGTCTCGGAGCATTTTTCGAATTTACAGTTTGATCTGGAGAAGAATGGTTATTTGGTTGGTGTGGCGCGCTCGTTGCTAAATTTTGTTGTGATGGTGTATGTTGAGGACGTGGAAAAGAAGGTGAATGTGGAGAACGCGGCGCAGAGGGTGAGGGCGGTGCAGAAGGATGGTTCGGAGATCTTGCCACATTCGGATTTACATTTAAAGATGATGATGATTTTGAAGAAGAAGAAGAGTTATTATATCTATGTGTTTGACTATAATTAGGATTTCTTGGCGCATGTAATACATCGGGATTGTTGCATGGAATCTGTGGATTATGTGGATGTCGAGGATGCTTTTCTTGTTGATCAAAGGGTTCTTGTGATTGTTTGACAGGAAGGGGAAGAAGTTGTGGTTCACAATACTGAGGTGGCTGGTTTTGAGGTGAATTCGGATAATGAGGTGAAGGCGGATATTGCGAAATTGCATTTTGAGGTAATGGTGAATATTGAGGCAGATGTTGAGGTGAATGTTGAGGTTGAGGTTGCGGTGTGTATTGAGGTTGAGGTGAATGTTGAGACGGATGTGGATATTGAAGCTGGTGTTGAGGTTGTTGCGGAGAGGTTATATTTTGAGGTGATGGTGGATAATGAGATGGATATTGCGAAGTAAATTGAGGTGATGGTGGGAAATGTTGCGGGGAGATTGTATTTTGAGGTGACAGCTGATAGTGAGGTGAGCGTTGCGAAGAGATTGCATTTTGAGGTGATGGTGGATAATGAGGTGAAGAAGTCGTACTTTGAGGCGATGGTGGATAATGAGGTGAGTTTGGTGATGGAGGGTAACGTGGAGATAATTGAACTTTATTATTATTATTAGGTGGGAGAGGAGTTAGATTTAGCGGAGGAAGCTGTTGGGTTGGCGGGTATCGTTTATCTACTGATTTTTTATCAGCGGGAGGATAAATTAGTCCATTATCATGTCTTTCTTGTAGAGGCTGACAGTTGAAATTATTATGTCCGCCTCTCGAGTCATCATTACTATATTGATGCGACATTTTATATTCTCGCTTTCCAACAAAATTTGAAAAGAAGCTACTTTGGAGAATGAATAAGCGTATCACAGTATAAATACTTTTCTGTGGAAAAAAAATGACATGTGAGAAACTTGATTTATAGAAAGACGCGCAGGACTAGCTATAGTCAGACTAGTTAGTAAGGAAATATTTCTTTTTTAAAGCACATTCCTTTAAATTCGTTAAAGGGTCATTTTTTAATGTGATATTCAATTTGTACACACTAAGGAGGGTTTCACATTGAACACTGCAGTTATTATCGTTATATGGCAAGCCAATTAACATAAAACTAATATAACTCAGCAGAATTATTGTACACGGCTCCCAATAAATGAATTTAAACTGCCGGTTCGTATTCCGAACTGATAAAATCTAGTAAGTAGTTCGCTTAATATAAGCATAACCATGTGCAGTTTTCCAAAAAAAGTGGGTTAACTTTAAATATCAAAATTTAAACAAATTGCGAGACAGCGTTCTTTAAAGGTTATTCTTAGAAAAGGTAGATGTTCTATCGAGTTTTGTTTAACAATTAAAATAGTCATTGTTATTTTTTTTTTTTTCTTTTTTTTATTCTTTGTTATGTTATGTATCACAAAACCTAAATCTCTATCTAATCCACTTGTCTCTATTTTATATTTTTATTTCTAAAACTCTAAGTAAAACTTTAAAAGTGATTTATTATTTTGTTAGTAGTTTAAGTAAAAATTCTTTCAACTTTTAATATCATTGTTCATAAAAAATTTTTTTAAATAGTATCATAACAGGTCCACTTTATTAGATATAAAAGGATACATATTACTTTAAATTACAAAGCAATTTTGGATTTATTTTCTTTATGTATTTCTCACATTTACCTTTTAAAAAAGTCAGTTTGTTAAGAAAAACCCTCTATAGCTTGTTATCTCTTGTGGAAAAACTTATATGTCTAGGTTTTGTTAGTATATATTGAGTAAATATCAAAAATAGATATGTTCACATTGATAATATTAGTAATTAGAGTTGTATTTATATCTATTGCTATCTTCTAGATTTGTTGTCACTGGACTTTTTTCCATTTTCTATATTCTGATGTGATATAGTTAATATATTATTTAGTTTTTATTTGTAAAAATGTTGACATCTGTCTTGTCATATGTTAAAGGTGATGAAGCAAATGCATCTGATTATGTTCTGAATTGTCTCTTCAAGTTTGTTATCTTTAAGATATATTGTACCTATTTATATTTTCAATTATTTTGACTTTGATGTTTATTATTGAAGACTTTTTCATCCTTGCTATAATTTCACTACTAATTGTGTTAATGATGAGGTCTTTGACATCTAAGCCATGTTCTTTGCATATGAAGGGATGACTTTGATCCTCTATTTCTAAGTATCTAAAACTTTTGCTTGTTATATATATGTTTGAGTAGTATTTATATAATATTGTCATTGGAAAAGTTCTTTATTTCAGAGTTTAAGTGAATATATATACAATCTTTGATCTAATAGATCACAAGATAAAGAATTAATATTAGATGAATAGAGGTTTTAAATAGAATTTTTCTAGTCTGTTTGTTCTCTTTGTTTAATTATCAACTTTGAGTTGCAGTTTAATATATTCTATGCTATTGTC